TTAATGAGATTTTTCTCTGCGCGCGTGTCCCTCTGTTCTTCCATGTGACTGAGTTAGAGAGTGTGTGAACACGTGGAGGTGGCGACTGCCCTTTCCATCTCCATCTCTGATGATGTCTACATCGCTTTAAACTCTGGGGCTTTAATGAAGCAATTCCACAAGGGAAATCAGCGACAGTGGGAGGGAAGGAAGGAGAAATGGGGAAGGAATAAAAATAACCCAAAATGGAGTGTGATGACCTGGAGTGTTTATGACTAACTTGTGATTATGACAAGTCTTTGCAAAGGTTAACCAAGAGCCTCCAGCTGATGCACTGGCTCACTGTTTTCATATTTGAAAAGGTTTAAAGTACTGGTTCTCAGACTATGGTACGTGTGCCGCCGGTGGTACACGAGCTGCCTTGTTAAAAAACAAATCAAAATACTAAAAAATAAAAAAAAAATACTTTTGAACGTTTTGCATTTCCTGTAATATTTAGTTTCGATATCAGCCTGTTATGGAGTCACGTTCATAAATGCAGCACACACATTCATTCATCATTAGTTGCAAGCTAAAATGAGATGGCAAGATAGTAAGCAAAGGTAAAATTAATGTTTTAAAACCACTGCAATTGTGGCTCCAAACGGGAACTATTGAGAGGAGAAATGTAGACCAGGAGTAACCCTTTTCCACCAAATTAGCTCTGCTTTGTTTGGATTCAATAACAGTCAACAGTAAATAATGTTATGAGGAATCAACCTGCCTCCTGTGTGACCGGACTGTAGCTAAATGGTAAATTGACTGTACTTGTATAGCACCTTCTAGTCTTCTGACCACTCAAAGCGCTTTTACACTACATGCCACATTCACCCATTCATTTACATTCAAACAGTGATAAACAGTGATGCACAGCATCTGGAGCAATTTGGGATTCAGTATCTTGTTCAAGGACACTTTGACATGCAGCCGGAGGAGCCGGGGATCAAAGAGCCAAATCTTTTGATCAGCTGACCTCTGATTACCTTTGAGCCACAGCTGAGCACTGATTAGGGTCGGCCTTCACTAGTGTATCATTGGTCATAATGGTGGTACTTTAATGTGTCTGGGTGTTTTTGGGTGTAAAATTATTTAGAAACAGTGGATTAAAGCAGTGGTTCCCAACCTGGGTGTAAGAAATCTTTTAAAAATCTATACAGTAGGCCTATATCTCAGCATTTGGTTCACTTCTGTGAAGAAAAGTAAACTGTTCAGTAAATTGTCTAATATAACAATGGCCAAGCATCAGGGACAAAAAAACAGAAGCCTTTTAAGTCTGTAAGTATGTATTAAGATGATAAAAGATTATAGATGCTGTTAAAGATGAAAAAAAATACATAATCCAGACAGAGAATTGTAAAACGTTCCCTAAACAGGAAATAATCTGCTCAAAATTCATCTAAATCACTTGTTTTACAGAAAACGTCTTACAGAGTTCACTATTTGGGTTAATTGTACAGTTTTGAATAGAACATGAAATATGTCACTTAGTCAGGGATCATCAGTTTACTAAATAATAGAAAAGGTTCACTGGTTTAAAGAATTTAAATTAACAGCTCACCATGAAACCAATGAGAACACCTGGTGTATGTACAATAACAACATAGATTTAGAGGAAGCAGTATCAGAACGAAGCTGCTGGTCCAAAGAAATGACACCATTTTACACCAAGATTAATCCTTATATTTATTTACAACAATTTATTAAAATCAATGTGTGACAGACAATCGTTGATTTTGCAGGACATGATCATATGAGAAAGAGCTTGGCGAGTCCTGCTACCCGAGTTAAGAGTGTGTTGTTGATATCAAACCAACAAAAGGCACAGTGTGTGTCTGTGTGTGTGTGTGTGTCAGTAGCAGTCCACTATGACCTCTTGCCCTGGCTGTGTGTGTGGCTGAGTGTGAGCGGCACTCGCAGTGAGAATGTCCTGCAGCAGAGACAGGGGAGAGTTGTGGATGTGGTCACTGCTTTGAGTCAGGACGTCCAGCCTCTCGTCTAAACCCAGAGACGTCAACGCCTCGCACACGCCGACAATCGCGCCGTCGCCTCCTTCCTCCAGCACACCGCAGTCTTCACGATCAACCTCCTCTGCTCCATTCAAACTTCTCTTCACTGCGATGTCCGCCCCTCTGGTCCCGTCGCTCTTCTTCATCCCCAGTATCTTCCTGATCTCCATCCCCCAGCCCCAGCCAGGCAGTTCACAGGACACTTTGGCAACTGTTGCCGCGGCAGCATCCAGTGCCCCTAGCGACAGAGGGCATACTGTCTCTCTGAGTGTTATTAGCAGTCGACAGGCCTTCAGGCCCACGGGTCTATCACAGTCAACCAGACCACTCAACAGTGCTGAGATGACTCGCTGCTCAACCAGATCGCTCAATGCTCGGGCCAAATCTGACGCCGCACCCTCTGTGTGTGAACCGGAGTGAGTGTGAAGTGTGTACGGCTGGTCAGAAACTACACCGTAGGGGTGTGATACGGCGGTGCGTGTGTCTGAGCCCCTCCTGTAGCCCCGTTGACCTGAAAAGGCTTCGTCCAGCAGCAGCTCGGCCAGCTCCAGCGTGTAAACTTTGACCTCCCAGTCCAGATCTGCGCTGCCGTGCGAGAGGACGGAGCGTACGCTCTGCGCCAGGAGAGAGGTGGATGGCGAAGACTGCGAGTGACGTGAAGAGAACCATGCGATGAAGTACTGTACAACAGCCCTCCTGGAGAATCCCTCTGTGTCCTTGGAGAGAATTTCAAGCAGCCGGCTCACTATTTCAGTCTGGAAGGAAACAGAAGATTATCAATAAGAGTCATGTTTCTATTTTACTGCAGCCATCTGAAAACATTATACCTACACAGGTTAGTAAGTACGTTTATTTTGAGTGGAACAGCACAAGAAAGTCCTCCTATTATTATTTCAGGGACTAGACATGGAATAGGAAATACAAATGTGGAAATGAATAAAAATAAGGCGCACATACAGGAGTGAGTCAAATTAAATATTGAATGTTTTCAGTCTGATTCAGTATGATTTTAAACTAATAAAAGTTTGTGTAGCAAAAATATTATTTTCTTCTATACTATTGTTAATTATCACCACAACCCCTCTGATTTATCTTGGGTGGTCTGCCTTAAACTCCAACAATGAGCTATATAATTTTAATAAGCTGCTTCAAGTCTGATGAGACTCCAAACTAAGCTACAATCAAACACAAATACCACGATGATGATGATGAGATACTGTAATGTGAGCCTCAATGTTGATCCCACACACTGATTCAACATCTACGTGTGAGAATAGTCCAAAGAAAGTAGCAGCGGATGTTAAGTCATCTAAAATCTTACACAACCGACCAAAATCTGACTCAGTATCCCACAAAACAGCAAGAGTCAAATGTAAAACGACTTCAGCCTACCTCCTCCTGACTGAGCGCTGCCCCCTGCTGCCAGCTGTGTGCCAGTGTCTTTGCCAGTGCAGAGATGGCGCTGGCTCTCACGTAACTCTCTGTGTCCTGAAGCGCCTCCTTCAGGAGAGGAGCGATACAGCAGCCGTCCAGCAGAGCCTCAGATGCGTCGCATGTGTCCTCGGCTGATTTACCCACTCCTGCCAGGTGTCCCAGAAACTCCACCGTTGAGTCTCTCACCTCCCAACGCATGTCACACACACGCTTCTTCACCACCTCCACGAGATCTGATGGGGACACAGATAAGTCCAGTGAGACGTTATATAGACGGCAGAGTGGGTTCTGTGTTTGGATTCGTCACACAGGAGAGTATTTATGAGCTTTAATGAAAATGCTGCTAGTGAACTTTACCTTGTCTGAGTGGGTCTGTTATAAGGGAGAGATCTGTGCACACACTCATCCACTTTAGTAAGGCCTGGTAGGACTTGTGGAGAACCTAAGGAACAAAGGTAGAGCCGTTTCAATCATAGAAAACAACACCAGATAGATAATGCTTTAGAGATCTTTTCAGCGACAGTAAATAACCCTCTATCTATCTCACTGTCTCTTAATGAATTCAGATATGGAGGAGCTGTTCAGTGGCTACAGACTGTCTTGGAACCAGATAAACTAATCACAGCCAAAAAGCCAAAGCACATGTCTGTCTACTCGTCTTTTACTGAGACATTAACCACTTCTGATCCATTGACAATATACATATAAAATCTGTAAAGGTGACATATAAAGCATACCTTTGTTTTACACAACTAACAGTTATTTTCATTATCAATTAATCAGCTGATTATTTTCTTCAATAATCATTTATGCCTCTGAAATATTGAAACAATACCACACAACCCAGAGTAAAGATAAAGATATTCAATTAGTAGTAGTAGCCCAGATTCTGGACCCAGAGAATGTTTGATATTGTTGCTACACAACATAAATATATGGAGGCTATGAGATGCAGCTGACAGCTTTAGTTAAAATCACACTGCTGTTTCCTTCACATATAGAATGTGTGTATCAGTATGGAAGTGAAAACATCATCATTACACTGTG